AACCTAGTGCACATTTACAACATAGGTTTATAATGGCAGTGATCATCTACTATTCCCACGCGATTGAGACGTCTAGACCTAGAATTTTCGTATATTCGTTTGTTCTACAGGTTCCCCTTATATTATCACTTTTCCATTTATCCCCATTTTATCATTGTCGACACTTCGATGAACCAAATAATTTGGAACTCCTCTGTAGACTTAATCTATTTCATGTGCATGCTTTGGCTTGTAAGGTAAGTGAATCAACGGGATCTTATTTGGAAAGGAGAAGTGTAGCGTATAAAGGAAGGGTTTTTTCGTTATTCTAGCCAGGATACAACAATAGATTGCTTTTGGCTTGGTGTTGGTTGGTTCTATTAAATTGTTTAGGAGGTCAAGATTTCTTATGGTTATGACGAAAAATTGTTAGTCTTTTGTCTCTCCTAGGAGACATCATCAGAGCTGAGTATCACATAGCACATTCTAGCCATCGTCAACTTAATTATTTATATCGAAGGTATAAAGACCAAGATGGTTTGGCCTTTTTTGTGGTCGCAGTCTCCTTTCGCAACTCGGTCATATTGGTAGGAAGACTATTTATACATGTCTGTGTGGGTGTATGTGGTGCCCAACTGCGAGAATGCTTGTTAGGGCGCAGACTGTCTCGATTAAGTTTCATCGAGACCCAAAGGACTTCATCAGCTACGGATTTATGTATATTTTATAAATTGGCTTTAATTTCTTCAACAATCTAACTCTTCCTTATTCTGGGCCGAATGCGAGAAGCGTGTTCAGGATTTTAACGACATTTTGCTATAGCAATGCTGTTTCCGCGTTCAGGGCAATCAATCGCCCCAGATAGGACGGCTGATTAGACGATATTCTCACCGCTAGAACATGCCTGCCTTCGGCCTGGTGTCGACCCGTGTCTCTGGGCTAAGGCGAGGCTAAGAGAGACAGCCCACTAGACCGGTTGGCCGAACCAGACTGAAAGTGGCTCCCTAAAACCGGGAGAATTGATTCCTTATGCACCACTTCCCACACCATATACACGATCAGAATGACTGCCCAATTCATAGCCTATGCGACGGGAATGATCCTGAACTGGAACAATCGAAATGAAGTCTACAGTTGGCCCTGGTAGCCAGCCCATTTCTGTACTACGCCTTCATATCGGGAGCTTAAGTCATGAGAAGGACGAAACATAAAAACTAACGAGAAGACTTTTTAAGACCAATGGCAGGTATGCACATCGAAAACCGCGTATATGCCACTCTGTTGAACGGTTGTTCGGATGCTGCCTTCAGCTTCGGTTCCTGGCGCGACCCCCACCCCGCCCTTGAAGGCGTCACATGTTTCATCTGTTTCATCTGTTTCATCACTACGGTCAGGCCACCTGATCCATCGGAATAGTAGGTTTGAGAACGACTCCCATCTCTACCAGCTTCCTTTGTAGTTCTGCTTCAGACTTTCCCTTCTTGGCCTACACTTGCACTGTTGATGTTGATGTCATTGCTGATATTCTGTCTGTCGAGTGGCAATTTTTTACATAGTACAACTAGACATGCTTCTAGGGCCCGATTATTATGTTATGCTAGACAATAAATCTGAAAAATGCATGCTAAACTGTTTTCCACCAAAGCTTTGTTGGAATTAAGGCTCGAAGTCACAGCCTTAATTTGGCCCGAATGCAGACATGCTTCTCTTTTAGCCGTGACAGTCTTTGGT